TAAAGAGTTTTAACTTGTTTGATATTCATCAATTATTTATATTTGTTCCTTACCTAGCTTCAATCTTGTAATCTCAAAAGTGATCAGAAAATAAGATAATAACATAGAAATGATAAGCTCCATTCAATGAAGTGTGTAGGAGAGTTTCTAAAAGAACCTATTGCTTCTAATTCAATTCATTTAACCCTTAGTCATTAAAGAAGTGACGTTTTCCTGTCGTATGCACTTTTTTATATCACATGTTGAATTATTGTACCTTCATAATTATTTAATACAGTTAAGTGTTTTTTTTCTACACATTTTATTATATATTTCAGGACTCGTATGTTTTTGTTTTTGCATTATTTTCTTTCGGTTTACAGTTATAGCAGGTTTTCATTGAACATTCAAAACAAATGTGTGTTTTTTCACTCTACACATATGGTATTGTTCTTCCTATCCTTAGTACAACTCTGTTGTTTTGGTGCAATTAGATAGTTGTGCTCTGGAGTAACGTTAGGTGGAATTTCCTGAAACTTCTTTATAAATTACGAAATAAGTCCTGTTTACGTAAGTGGGCGGGTGGGGGTCTCCTAAACTGCACATTAATTTAGTTAGGAAAAATAGTTACATAAAACATTAAAGTAAAAACTTCAGCTTCCACTAACGTATGAGAATACAACGAATCTCATTGTAATAAAAACAAAGTACATAAATTTGTTATTAAAATCGCTTGAGGTCATATAGACTCCTCTCTAGTAGTTAAGAGTGAATTGGAGCTCATAAATAATAAGATAAAGCAAATTTAGAAAAACGATTACATTAATCTGTATTTTTACCTTTCCCCCAGGAAATGTGCATCAATTGTGGGAAGTGTTACATGAGCTGTAACGATTCTGGGTACCAGGCTATTATCTTTGACCCAGAAACCCATCTACCTAGAGTGACTGATGACTGCACCGGTTGCTCGCTTTGTGTCTCTGTGTGTCCTATCATCGACTGTATTCGTATTGTAAACCGAACGACTCCTTACCAGCCTAAGAGAGGAATACCTTCCACTGAACTGGGGAATTATTGTGATAATCCTTTCCCTCTTCTTGCACAGTAGACTTTTCGTGGAATGACTTGGATAGTTAATAATAGCAAAATATTGAGCTTAATTCAATACGTTAGAGAGGTTATTGACTGTGCCTAGCATTAAAACAGAATATATATATATATATATACAAGCACTAATAAAGTTAATGGATAAAAACATACTTTAAGCCTGATTTTCGATTTTTAGGTCCTATTGGAACTTATACTAAAATGTAATGTTATTCCGTTATTTATAAGTCACAGAAAGGTAAAGAATTAAGTTAACGTGTTCCCTTGCTTGTTTGTTACAAGAGTACTTGTTTTTAAAGTTAATGTTATAAACTTCACAGTTTTGCACTCGTAGAACAATACACGATGTACTCGTATAAACGCAAAAATATCACTATACAATTACCCAATAGGAATATTGAGTTTCCAAACGAGCGAACACACACACACACACGCGTGGATTGACTGACACATATTGTTCTTTTAGTTACATAGATTTCATTACGTTTTTTTTTAATGTTTCCGATTTACATAATTTATATCCAAGTGTTCTAGAAATCTGCTTTCGCTAGTAACATCAAATTAACTTGTCACTAGCGTGATCATATATTTTAATCTGCTTTCGCTAGTAACATCAAATTAACTTGTCACTAGCGTGATTATATATTTTAATTTTTCTAAATTTTCAGTGGTATTTTAATCACAAAAAAGTAGGGAAACAAGCCTTTCAATGAAATTTAAAATTTAAGAATTTGTCTGTTGTTAAGCGCAAAGCTACACAAAGGGCTATCCGTGTTATGCCCACCCACCATGAGTTAATTTAAGAATTACTGGCATTAGATGCCAACCACTGTATTGAATAGTTCGAGCAGCATGTGCGACTTTATACGGTATCAAAGTGTAATGTTCGCTTAATTCTACTAAAGGACATGTGACCGAAGGTCGGTCTGAAGATAAGAAAAACAACAACTCCAGTCACGTGTTACAATATATTTTGGAGTTGTTTTCGTGACAACTACGTACAACCTTGTACAAGCATCGTGATAACGTTATGTTGTGACCTACGTTTCCTTCCTTTACGCCACTATCAGACAGGATAAACAGTCGAATTTCGGTCATTCACTCGGCTGGAGGGAGCACGTATGCTCGGTTAGGTTTACTGAAACTTTCAAACGGCGGGGTAAGTCTATCGTTACTATTACTATATGCCCATCCGTCTCGATGGCTTAAGCCTTCTTTCTAAAGATGCATGTTAGATACATTTTTTGGCAGATTGTCGTGTTGTCCTGTCGGTAGTTTTATAGTTAGTTCATCACACGCTGTCGTTAAAGCCACTTATATTGCGTTATAGTGCTACACTACCTAGCATATTACAGGAGATATACTACACGGTTGTATAAGTAATGGCGGTTTCGTGCACTCTAACGTGTCAATAATGAGAACTAAATTCCGTGGTTGGCAGACGCTTCTCTCAAAATCCCCCTACCGGTCAATAAAAACAAAATCCACTATTTTATGCTATTTTTACTATTCGAGCACTAGCATGGTTACATTTTAATATAAATTATTGGACGTTTCAGATTATACATAATCCATCTTAAGCAGTTTACTACACAGATAATGAGGATGTATATGATGTATTGTTCAAAAAATGAAAATAGAAAAAACATCTTGTTACAGACTATTATTAGTGTACTTAACATGTATATAGAATAAGGGTGAATAAATAAGATTATCAGTGTAAAATTATTATATATATATATATCTGACTAGGGCTCTGTAAACTGAGGTTTCCGGAAGTAGAATTTCAGGCCATTCTTGTTCCTTGCCGACGTTACACTGTTGCTGTTGAACACGTGCAGCATTTGCGGTGTTGGCTGAAGCTCCTGCAGCCACCCCCCACCCCCCTCCACACACTCCAAATAGTATTTTACGCTTTTACTGTTCATTGGTCTTTTAAGGCCCATCGTTTCTCAAACTGAGGTCCACCCCCTGGGAGTCTACGATTCATGTTCGAAATTTCATTAAAACTTTTAAAAACAATGTGATTTATGGGGGGGGGGGTATGTTTTATAAAATTAGATTTATGTGAATTAAAATATTTAATTCTGAAGTACAGCTTTTCATATACACGAATTTTTTTTCACAGCAAAAAACATCGATAAGTTTGGGGGCACGCAAAGAAATTTTTAATTAAGCCCTAGGGATACGAAACTTTGAGAACCGCCGATTTTTTAATTTATGCTATTTTCGCGGCTACATTAATCGCTTCAATACGTAAAGGAAAACAATTTAAGAATAAGTGATATTTCGTACGATGGTTATATATTTCATTATTATATGAATAATTGATAGAAAAGATATTAGCCAATGAAATACAAACAACAAAACAGTGCAATAGAAGTTAACTATTTAAACATGCACAATGAAACGGAATAGGAAAGTTAACGAGGGATATCATACAGCTTAACGGAATAGGAAAGTTAACGAGGGATATCATACAGCTTAACGGAATAGGAAAGTTAACGAGGGATATCATACAGCTTAACGGAATAGGAAAGTTAACGAGGGATATCATACAGCTTAACGGAATAGGAAAGTTAACGAAGGATATCATACAGCTTAACGGAATAGGAAAGTTAACGAAGGATATCATACAGCTTAACGGAATAGGAAAGTTAACGAAGAATATCATACAGCTTAACGGAATAGGAAAGTTAACCAATGATATCATACAGCTTAACGGAATAAGAGTTAACCAATGATATCATACAGCTTAACAGAATAAGAGTTAACCAATGATATCATACAGCTTAACGGAATAAGAGTTAACCAATGATATCATACAGCTTAACAGAATAAGAGTTA